TGTGTATTTTCGCAGATATGAAGAAATATTTAGTCACAAATGCAATGGCTGGGAAGAAGATAAAAGACAGGTATGAAATAGAATACGAAAAGTACTGCAATTATCTTTTACCGAGAAAACCAGGTGAAATGGGGTTTGAAGACATAGTACATATTCTGACGAAAATTTTTAGTGACAAGTGTTCTCTGTTCCATTCTTGTTGGAGGTGCATGAATTTCATCAAAAAAGAGGTGAAAGATTTTGTCATGTATGCGGGTAATGTCAACGGTGAATGTGAACAATTTAAACTAAAGGAAATGACTCCGGATATGTTCAAAAGATTAATTTTTGTGCAAGATCTAACCGCAGAAAAATATGCTGAAGTTCAAATGAAAATGTAAGCAAAGATTGAACATAATAATAATGTAACACTACAGGAAATAATGGACGATTGCCACACAATGCTAAGTTTGAAACATGATGCTGAAAAACTTCAGGATATAGAATGTGCATTGGTAAAAACTGAGGGAAATGCACAAAAAGTAAATAATGGAAAGGAATTGGAATACCTTTATTGAAGACTTCAGTTTCTGGCTAGAAATTATTCTTTTTTGCAGAGGGTGGGGAGAATTAACTTGCGATGTTAAAAACAAAAGCTTATGTTTTAAGAAATGTAACGAATCTATTCGGTACGGACTGGATGGAAATATTCGAACTGTGGGATTTGCCGATAAACACTTATTGTAAAAATGTAAATGGACAAGCGACCAATTTAAAGAGTCAGAGAAAAAATCTTAAGGAAGAAATAAAAATTGTTTCCTGATGTTCTGTCTAAACTGGATCGGTGCCCAAAATTCAAGGTGAATTTTCAAGTAAAAAAAAGTTCAACGCCAGTATTTAAACCGAAACGGAGCATACCATTCGTAGCATTAAATCAAGCAAATGAAGAGTTGGACAGACTAGAAAAATTGGTATATTGCAGATAATAAACAACTCGAAACAGACTGCACCAGCAGGTGTATGCAAAGAAAAAAATAACAAAATTCGTTTTTTCGCGGATTTCTCGACTGGATTAAATAATTGTATTGAAATACACAATTACTCATTACCAATCCAGAATATAATTTTTCAAAGTTGAACGGCAGAAAAATACTTTCAAATCTGAATCTCTCTGCAACATATTTACAAATTCAGATTGAAAGTCAATGTTCTCAATTAATGACCATAAATAAGTAAAAAGGGTTATATAAGTTTAATCGGCTTCCAAATCGGATGTCAAACGAATTATGCAAAACTAAGAGAATACGGATTCAGCTTACTGAAGAAAAATGTCAATTGTTTCTGCCAAAAAATAAAATACCTGGGTCAAATTATTGATAAAATGGTAGGAGGGTAAATGCAATTAGAAATATGACTACACAAACAAACGTAACTACGCTACAAGCATTTTTTTATGATCGGGGAATTATTACGTACATAATATATACAAGGTGTTCATAAAGTTCGTTTGTATGTGATAACTCTGAGGAAAGCCGGCAGTGATCTTATACGCTTCTGATGACTGGCCATTAACAATGTTCTTCAGGGATCTTTTTGTTAGGAAGGGCTTGCTAATTCCAAAGCCTTCCAAAGAATCCATACCTGGAGAGTAATCCCCGAAACCTTGCATTTATATACACTACAGTTCAAAAGTTTGAAGCGATTCCCAGAATGAACTTTCCATCTAAAAAAACGAAAAAGAACTCTTAGAGTCATTGAAAAAAGAATCGAATCGATTATCAAACTTTACTTTGACAAACTTTTGCATCGAATGCCAAAAATTTGTGCTGAAGTAATCAAGGCTAAAGGAGGATATTTTAACGCGAGCAAAATTTAATCATAAATGCTTTTCTTATAGTCATAATAGAATTTCTAATAAAAATAATGCCTCTCTTTTTTAAACCACGTATAATAATTTTGTCTTATTTAAAGTACAAAACAACAACTTTTGGGGCCAATTTAAAAAATTACCAGTGGTGTCCTTAAACTTTTGAATTGTAGTGTAGTTGTACAGAGAAACTGACAGAAATACTTATGTAGGTCTATGAGTATGTATGTATGTATGTGTATGTATTTAAAACAGTTATAGACGAATGTGTATGTATTATATGAAGCCAGTCTTATTGAAAAACAATATGTAACAATATATCCAGGTTGATATGTTGAAACTACAAAGGTTAATAGCATAAATCTACAAAAGGATTTCTTGGATTGGATTTTGCAAAAATATCCGACCACCAAAAGCGCCATTCTCTGTCTATTTCGAAACTGATTATTGCAAAATTCGACGAGAATTAGTTATGGTTAAAATTTACAAGTTCGTAAATGAACTGATGTGGGATTTATACGCACAATGAAATACAAATATACAATCGAAAGGAGAAATAAAGATATGGCATAAAATCTATCGAAAATACTTTTAACCACTTGGAAGTAAATGATGCGATAATTCACCAGTAATTGATTTGTCATGTATCTTTTTGCTCTATTAGTGAGCCTGTTACTGATGAAAGTCAATTTGTAGATGGTGATAAATTCTGTGAAAGCAATGATTGCTTCGGAGCGGCTGATAGGTTATTACTCAGGGTACTGTGACGTTACACAGAAATATACAAGTCTCAAGATGTTTAACTACTTTTCACCCAAAACACCCAAAATCTATTACAGTGCAAAGGCTTACTGAATGGGGTGGCCGTGGAGGGAGGAGGAAGAGGTGGTTGTTATGAGGATATGTAGGATAGATAATGGTTGACCTTAAACTTGAAAGTATTATGATTGCAGTATTTGGGGAAACATCATCACAGGAATCTGGTCCACAAAATGATTGTCCTGGGGAAGAAGCTGTCTGAGTGTAAATATTTCCTTAACAAAGGAATGACACAGTGTACGTGGCATAACGGATACTATCGAGATTTCCTGTTAAATAATAGTTTAGCAGACTATTATTTTTAGGAAGAAAGGCATTTCTGTTCGGACTTCCTGAGGTTGACTTTTGGGGTCAGATGGAAGACAAAACATGGAGGTCGATTTTGATTGGCTGAATGAGCGTGAGAACGATAGACAGAGAACGATTTTTCGGTGAGTCATTTCTTAAGCGTCGAACAATGTAGACGTGTTTCCTTTCGTGTTTGACTCTGCTCCCCAGTGGAGTGAGAGAGCGACCCCACTGAAATAGAAGATGTAAACGTCGACAACATTAATAAAATAGTTAAGTTAAAATTCCCTGTGTTGAATTTCTTTTATCTCTGGACTCAAAACAACTGCGACTAAGACCCCCAAGCAGGAGGGGCTATGCCACATAGGCTATTTAACGTTGTCGACCAAGACCACCCTGTCATATGCCCTAGTCGACGAATAGGTTTATAAGGCGATCATACGCCGACTAGGAGATATATACATTCTCACACCTGTGGAGAGATGCAAGCTATCTCTCCCAGATCGTGACAATGGACAATTGGTAAACAAAAATATTTTTAAGACCACCGTTCGATTGGGATAATCGAACAGTAATCTTTCCCAGGTCCGCTTCGTTTTCAACACGAATACTGATCCACAATACAAGGATGAACTATAAGGCTTAGCGATTTTGATACAAGAATTTTAATATATACAAATATACAAATATCAAAATAAAAGAAAATGTAAGTATGAGTTAAAACATCCGACGAACAGATCTCAAAACTTATGTTGGGATATCAAAATTCGCCTAACTCCAAATGGATTCAACTGAACCCGAACATACAAAAATATAATTATGAATTACTATGAATTAAATGCAGAAGCCAACGCATACACAAAAGAGATGGGATAGGAGTTACAATTATTGTTTTGACATGTGGAAAGGTGTTTGCAAGAACATAATATTCATGGATGTATGTTTATCTTTCTAATACGGGTGCAAAATATGATTACTTATCTTTTATATTCAGTTTTCTTTTTTTTATCATTGTCCTTTCTTTTCTTTTCTCGACACAAACACAATTTCACACACTGTACGTCTGTAACAGAGGTATACACTTTCTTTCTCTCTTTGTTTTGCCTTTTTCTTTCCTTCCTTTTTCTTCTGTAGACAGTTCGGTTTCCAAACCCGACTCACTGCAACAGGGATGTACACTTTCTTCCTCTCTTTGGTTTTCTTTTTTCTTTCCTTCTTCTTCTTTACACAATTCAGCTTATAACAGAGGTATACACGTTCTTCTCTGGTTTTCCCTTTTCTTTCTTTACACAATTCAACTTGTAACAGAGGTATATACTTTCTTCCGCTCTGGATATCCGTTTTTTTTTTCTTTACTCAATTCAACTTGTAACAGAGATATATACTTTCTTCTTTGGTTTTCCTTTTTCTTTAAACGCAGGCTGAATCCTCAGCGTATAAATTTCTCTGCGTCTTCAATTTGGGGTTCTCGAACAGGAATACTTGTTATATTTCTTGTCCGGTGTTGCCTGGGTCTAACTGGATAAGTCCCATCACTATCAAATGAGCCTTATCTTTCCGTTCATAAACTATCAGCGCTTCGCCTTCAGGTCTTGCTTCTTCAAAGTCAAGATAGCAACTGATTCTCGAGTGAATCTGTGACTATCACGTGTCATAAGTTTTGGCGCGAATTCCAGCTTACATCAGTCCCGTGTCTAGCTTCTGTCTAGACATCTGTCGCTACGAGTAATTGGGTCAGTCAACCTTTTGACCTGCCTTCCCAAAATGTCATAAGACTCCCACGTGACCTTTATTCTGTTACTAGGCGTGTACGCGTGTTTAGGCTATCTGCTTTCGTCACAACCACACCAAGGGGATATGCAACATTCCAAAGTAGAAAAATGGATTTATATAAAAAAATAAATAAATAAAAGAAAGAAAGAAAGAAAGAAAGAAGGAGAACAAAAAAAGTTAAGATCAGAGAGTAGTATCTATTTTCTTTCTCTGTCGAGTTTCTGGTTTTGTAACGAGGGAAGATTAGTCTCGGGGATTACAATCTAGCGGGGGCTTACGGCCATATCATTTTGAAACACGGGTTCTCGTAAAATCACTGAAGTTAAGCAACGTCAAGTCTGATCAGTACCTAGATGGGTGATCGCTTGGGAATACCAGGTGATGTAGGCTTGGATATGCAGGTGGTGTAATGGAGAACTGAATTGGAAATTGGAAAGTCGAGTTCCAATTTCATTTGGGTTCGTTATATTCATTTACGGAAAGGTATGAATTCATTTATTCTCCCCGAGCTATGGGTTAATTACTAAACTTGTATCAGTAAAAATCTCCGAAAAAATTCTTACAATCTAAAATTATTTTCTGGCTTTAAATAACCTGAAAAGGTGTTGATAAGCTGTAAAAACATAGCAATCCAACACTACAGCAGCATCTCCATCGATGCACGAAAAATGCAGGTCTGATTAATGCAAATTCAAGCGTGACATTGGTAGCAGGAATATGTAGATTTTTGTCATTGATTCATATATAGTCGTATGAGTATACTAGGATAGTCTCATTAAATATGAAAAAAAAAAGTTATTCACATCCGGTTAAAGAACGAAGGAAGAACGAAGAAGAAAACAAAAGAAAATGATGGAAAGAAATGAAAGAATAAGAGAATAAAATATGAAAGAATAACAGGAGAATGAAAATAGCTAAAAAAAATACAAGGAAAACAAAAAAAAAGCAGACGATGAAGAAAATGCGAATGAAGTTGAAGGAAAAAAAATTCTTGTTGAAGAAAGAAAAAAAATTAACGCCCGAATGAAGGAGGAAATGTTATAAAAACAGAATTAAAGGCGTAATAAAAGAAAAAGTATCGAAGAAATCACTTAAAAATAACACATTATTGCGAGGAATATAGGGAAAAATATATCAAAGGACGCCTATAAAAAAATGAACGAAAAAAAGAATGATTGCAGTAAATAAAGAAAGAGCGAAGGAAAAGACAGTAAAGAAGGAATAGAAAAGTAGATTTTGGTCAAATGAGAGTTTTGCCTATGAGAAGAGTTACTTCTTAAATCATAAAGGATCTAATAGAAAAGGAGAATAGGAGAAATAAAAAGGAGGATAACAAATGCTTAAAGGTTTCCGAAACATGAACAAATTTACTTGCCAGAATCTTACAACGAAACAACCCAAAACATCATCCGGCTTTACCCAAATTTGTTAAGATAGTGTAACTTTTTCTCCCGCCAAAATACCACATAGACATCCCGTCCATTTCTCAACTCGTAGACCACACACAAGACCTATGTATCAATCGACTAGAAGCCAATTTTTTCCCCCAGAATCAAGGAAGTCATGGCAAGGGGGAGAAAATTAAAAACAAAAAAGAAGACAAGATATATCATCCTGAGATTTTCTTTCTTTCTTTCTTCCTACTTGTGGCACATAACCAAGACAAGTTTCAGACAGCTTGTTCGCTAAGCATGCCAAAAACGGTCCGTATCGATCATTGGTTTCGGTTTGGGGGGTTTGGCTTGGCGCGAAGTAGCGGTTCATCGGCAATAACAGCTCTGGTGTACAGCGGAGTAGGAGGATTGATACATTTTTTTCTCGGTCTTTTTTTTTTTTTTTTAACGGTTATTCTTCTTTTGAGGGAGAGTATAGTGATAGAGAAATGGGAGCGCCTTAGATGAAGGTTGCAAGGTGAAAAGGAGGTGTTTCTCTTTATCGTCACTGAGGCGCGGCCAAACATCTCTCGATGATAAACATTCGCCTAACTCTTGCCGAAAAGGGCGCCTTGTGTATAGAAGGGCGCGAAAGAGTTTAGAGAATGAGAAAGGGTAGGGGTGAAGAAGTATGGATAGAATTGACACAGTGTTATATATATATATATATATATATATATATATATATATATATATATATATATATACCCTTTGCATACATATAGACATAAAGCACACACACACACACACACATATATATATATATATATGCCCTTTGCATACATATAGACATAAAACACAAACACACACACGCACACACACACACACACATATATATATATGCCCTTTGAATCATATAAACACAAAAACGTACCTATGTACACAAAAAGTATCCTATACACAACAATTTATCATATAAATACACGCACATACACACACACACATAGAAACACATACATATTCTTCCGTATATTTAAATATATATATATATATATATATGTTTTTGTGTGTGTGTGTTCATAGATATATTTAATATGTTTCTGTGTATGCAAAGGAGAGACATACATTACAGGCGAAAAGTTTAGGATCACCCTACATTCTTTAAAACGCACCGTACAATGAGACATTTTGGTATATTTTAATAGCAAAAGATAAGATTTCCCTAACTACATTGTATTTGTTTTATTTTCTTTTTCCAGGCTCCTCTTTCTACTAAAATGTTCAAATTTGGGTTCGTCTGTCCAAAATAGATTTCTCTAAATTATGAATATTTTTGATGAGGAATATTATATTTTGTATTCTCCATTAACTCATCAGTAGTCTTTTTGAAATTACTATTATTTTCAACTCACTTTAATGTTAATACAGGTTCTAATTTCTACCTTAGCACAATGTTAAAAAAAATATATGTAGGTGAGATATAAAAATTTGAAAAAATAGAAGTTGGTGCCATTTCGACAGTATTGTCATAATTTTTTTTTAAATTTGAAATAATTTGAACGTAATGGCAAAATCAAAGCACTGAGTTGAGGGCACAAATTGAACTTTTATTCAGGGAAGGCTACTCTCAAATAAAAATTGTCAAGAAATTTAGATTCCTAGACATGGAGTGCAATATTCATTACAAAGACAGTTAGAAACTGGCATAGATATTTTCAGAAAAAGAGTTGGAGCGCCTAAAGTAACAGCTGGTGCTGAAGATAAAAACTTGATTATTGAGAGCAAAATAATTAGAAGGAAAACTGCTCCAGAATTGACAGCTGAACTTAATTCCTATTGCCAATAAACAATGTCGCTTAAATCTGTGAAAAATTGACTTAGATCAGTGTGACTCAGGAGGTGCATATAGACATTAAGAACCCTTGTTACGGAAAGTGAATAAACAGAAAAAATTGTTTTGGGCAAAAAAGCACATGATATTGAAATAGTGGCAAAAGATATCGTGAACAGACGAATCAAAATCTAAACTTTTTGTATTAAGATGAGAGTATATATGAGAAAAAGGCCAGGAGAAAGACAGAATAATGAATGTGCGGTTCCAACAGTTAAGCATTGTGGTGGGACTGTTTTTGTGTGAAGGGTTTTAGGGCTGGAGATTTGAGACAGGTCAAGAGAATCATGAAAAAATAATGACAATGCTTTTGGAAAGAATGACAATGCTTTTGGAAAATTCAATGCTAGGCCCTTCGGTTTACGCATAATTTTGAAAAAATCACCTTTCAACAACATTGTGTGGTACGAAATGCTTAATTAAAGGACGCAGATCCCCCTCTTCTAAAGAGAGATAATAGTAGGATGTTTTAGGTACTTAATGGAACAATAAAGAGAACTGATAATTTTATTTCCGGCACATTTCTTGCTGGATCACATGTATGAGTTCCACTTAAGGTTTGCGTAGATCTGTATTTAGATATGAAGGAATATATATATATATATATATATATATATATATATATATATATATATATATATATATATATATATGGATGTAACAGCATAATTGGGCATACTACAAAATATCTAGAAAATATCCACAAATTTACTAAAGTAACTGAAATTCTTTTTTTCCAGGTTTTCAAATAAGACGTTTAACCATCTTGCCACCAAGAATCACTAAAAAAACCTTTGAGTTATTTAGTTAAAAAGAGGACAGGTTAAAATAGTTTTGTGTTAGCCACACTGTCTTCCCAAGTGAGCAATGGTGAGAAGAAAAAGATCATTCAGACCTTCAGTAATGTTATATGTTTATGCTCTGGCTACCATCTTCAAAGACCAATCAAGAACAATCAATAAAACGACGAATAAGTTTAAAAAAAGAGGGAACAGTAGAGAATAAAACCGGAAGCGGGATAATCATTTCAACTTAGAGATGAAAAGATCAATTATAAAAGATCCTACACAATCCATAAAACATTTGGCACGCGGGAGAGGAGTTTCAGCTATGTCAGTCCAAAAAGCAATGAAAAAAGATTTAAAAATGAAATCGCGCGTGAAACCAGTGAGCCATCGTGCTACTCTAGGATAGAACGTTAGAAGGTTAGAGAGGGCGAAGATCATCTTGACTAAGTTGGTAAATGAATACATATATATATATATATATATATATATATATATATATATATATATATATATTTACAATTACAGTGTTGGTACAGATAAAAATTCCGGTAACCAAGAACACTATTCTTAAAATAGTACTCAAATACAGAGTAGAGCAAATAATCTTTATTCAAAATTATATCATAAGCAAGTTATAAAATCACTACAAAAATATCTATTTTGTTGGAACAAAATGGCTATTTCAACTTTTTGTAGTGATGTTATAACATGCTTATGTTATAATTTTGAATAAAGATTATATATATATATATATATTTAAAATTAATTTCTATTCTTCATGAATTTCCGATCGTTTGCTATTATTAATTAATGATGAGCATGTCATTTTCGTTTTGACTGATTTCAATACGATTCTTCTGATACGTTTGGAGAGCAATTATACATTCTTGTTGCTCCAAGTAGATTCCAGCAGTTTTAGAAAAAAACTCGGAGAATTACAGTAAGATATCTTTAATAATTTCTAAGATGCGACGGTTTAAAGCTTAATCTAACAATGGACAATTTTGTTGTTACACCTATATATATATATATATATATATATATATATATATATATATATATATATATATATCGTATGCATTTCTGAATACAATTATCTGTGATGAATGATATTTTATTTAATGCGGACTGTTTAATTTGTATAATAATATCCTCTAGAGTTTTGAGCGTTTCTTTGGATTGCTTGCTGTAGAGTACAACTTATCCACAATTTTGATTGCAATATTCAACCCCTTATTCGAATATATATTTTTCCCCAATCTACAAATAACTTTTAGTTCATAACTATCAATATTCAATCTATCTCAGTCTATCGATATCTATCTAAATTCGTCTG